TGCGCATCTCAGGATGGGCCACACTCAGAGTCACAGGGAAGAATGAGGGATGCTGGAGGCCTCTCGCCACGCTGAGCCTCCGCTGGGCCCTCTGCTTGCAGCAACAGGGCGGCTGGAACAGTCAGGTTCTCCTGGCAGCTGAGACCTGGGGGCCATTGTGCCTGGCTGGAATGCTGGCTCCATCACTAACCAGCCAATAACCTTGGGCAGCTTACCCAGCTGTGCCAAGCGCCTGCATCTTCTCAGGGAATCTTTGAAAGTGTTTAATCAGTTATGCACGGACAGAACTTAGAGAACCCTCCAAGGGCTCAGTTACCATTTATCTGCATCAGGACTCAGCCAACTCTGGCCCTCTGTCTGTTCATGTAAATAAAACTTTATTGGAACACTCATGTGTTTCTTTGTTCTCATTGTCAGTTTTCACCCCGAGGCAGAAAAGCTGAGTACTTCTGAGCAAGGCCACAGACTTTACAAACCTAGAATTTTATGGTCTGCTTTTAGTGATAAAATCTGCTGATCCCTTGAAACTGTCCACTTCAGGATCTAAATATCTGGACTGGGTCACACGTGTCTAGATACTCAGTCAAGCTTTATTCTGGCTGTTTCTACAGAGGTGTTTTTGGATGAGATTAACTTTGCAATTGATAGATTGACTTCATTGTTCCCTCCAGCATGGGTGGGCCTCACCCAGTCAGGTGAGCACCGAGCAGAAGCAAAGACTGACCTCTGCTGAACAAGAGCGAGTTCTCCAGCAGACGCCCCTGGGGTCCACGGGCAGCGTCAGCTCCCCAGGTCTTCCGCCTGCCAGCCGCCTTGCAACGTGGCCTCCTCGGCCTCCGTGTGTGAGCCAATCCCTCAGACAGAGATTGCACTGGTTCTGTTTCTCCAGAGGACTCTATTCCCGGCCCATCATTCCCGGGAATACTGGAGAGGTCTGAACACCGCCCTGGGGTTCTCGTAAAGGATCTCTCGTCTCTCTCAGGGTGGCTCAAGGAGGCACGTGGCTGGGCCAGGGCCACCCTGCAGGACAGGACTCCCCGCGGGCTGGACTCAGGGCACAGACGGGCTCTGGCTGCCCTCCCAGGACGGCAGGACCCCCTTCAGGTCCCACCTTCCCCCGCCCAAGCTTCGGGACTAAAATCCAGGGCTCCAACAGTCTTAATTAGCTTGTTTAATTATCACATAACACGTATCACTTTTCATTAAAATATTTTAGTTTTTCTCATCTTTTATGATGTTACTCCAATTAATTGTGTTGGAAAAAACGCTGAACCTGAGCTTCAAAAAAGAAGGTGCCAGTTTTTGAAGTAAATGTGTTTGATAATGGAGTCTTCTCAGATTTCTGCATCTGGAGAGGGGCGGGGACACCATTTTACACATTCATATATGTACGACAATATAGACCTATAGTGCACGCGTGAGGACACAGCACCCCACTCCAGTGTTCTTGCCTGGAGAATCCCACGGACAGAGGAGCCTGGCAGGCTAGTCCATGGGGTCACGAAGAGTCGGACATGACTGAGCACACACACACACACACAGACACACAGACACACAGACACACACACACACACACACAGACACACACACAGACACACACAGACACACAGACACACACACCCACACACACAGACACACAGACACACAGACACACACACACACAGACACACAGACACACAGACACACACACACACACACACACACAGACACACAGACACACACCAGACACACACACAGACACACACACACACAGACACACACAGACACACCAGACACACACACACAGACACACACACACACCACACACAGACACACACACACACAGACACACAGACACACACACACACACACACAGACACACAGACACACAGACACACACACACACCAGACACACACACACACACAGACACACACCAGACACACACACACACACAGACACACAGACACACACACACACACACACACAGACACACACAGATCTATGGCACAAAAGTAAACAAAGAGATGCCGGGTATCAGCACCTCGCTGCTAGCTGACATCTGGAAGCAGCCCCTGACATAAATTTCTTTCTGTTCATTCACTTAGCCTCCAGACACTACTTCTCTTTAGCAAAAGTCCTAAGATTGAGATTTCACTGTAGTCTCCTTCCAAGATCACTGGGCGTCATGGACTGAAGTTAGAATCTATTTACTGAAGCGAGTAAACCACCAGGAGCGTAAAGGCTCAGGCACAGAGGAAGCTCATTTCTCTCCACGTAACGGGGCTGAGAGGACAGACTTCGGGGATATCAGACCGGCCCAACTGCCACTCAGCAGGTGGCCACCAAGGCGCCGGTCTCCCAACGGCAGGCGGAGGCGCCCTGCGTTGAGCTTTCCCCGGGCCGGGCAAAAGCGGCCCAGCCTCTCGTGCTCACATCCTGTGAGTAACCCTGAGCCTCTCATCACTCTTTCTGGCCAGGGAGGCCGGTAAACCCCACCCCACTGTGCACCCACCAAGAAGAAAACAGGCATTTTGCCAACAGCCTGTAATCTCTGCCATTGCGCTCAGCCAAACTGAGGAGCCGGAAGTCTTCCTCTAATCGAATCACAGGTGGAAAGGCATCCTTTCAGGATGGAGAGATGAGCTTAACGAATATTCAAACAGCCTTAGGCGACAGGTAGATCAATACCAGCATTTTGCAGGGGAAACGGGAGTTGCGACACCAAGAATCCAGGACCTCCACCCTGCTTTGAGGCGTCACTGCAGAAAGCAGGCGACCCAAATTCCTGGACCGAAGCATTCTGTGATCCATCTGATGTGGATGCTGACCTCGATGCTGATCTACGTGGCAAGGACAGAGGGCCGACCTCCACCAGTCCTTCTCACACCAAGGAGGACTCAGGTCAAACCGAGTCACAGGCCAACGGCAGGCCCGTGGTCACTGACGCAGGATGTGGGGGCACCTTAACAGGACCTGCAAGCTCAGAGGGGGACTCTGACCCTGGTGAGTTTGAGACCCGAGACGTGAGAGGCAGTGGAGAGAGGGAGAGGAGCCTGAGCCTGGACCCCAGGTCTGCTGCTGCATTTCTTCCATCACTCATTCACTCAACAAACGCTTGCCGTCAGCTGTGCATGCAGTGCTTCAAAAATAAGGCGGCCTCTACTCTGCTGCACTTACGTCCCAGTGGGGAGATGCATGGCAAGAAATAAAGCAAAGGGGGAAACGGCAGACTACTGCGACTCAGGGAGGCGACGAGCAGGAGCGGACATGGAGCCTGCCCTGGAGTGTCCACACCCCCAGCGGCCCAGCACCGCCTCGTCTGTCACCGCACTCCCCTAGAGACCCAGCACCCCCACGCTTAGTCCAGCAGGTGGGGCCGCCACGCTCGACACTGGGGGGTAGCGGGGGCACACACCCCGATGTGGATCATCGGCGCTCAGCCTCACTTCACGCCAGGACCAGCCCTGGCCACCAGCCAGGCCAGGCAGCTCCTCCCGGGGCCTTGTCTTAGGAAACCAGGAAAGAGCCAGTTTCTCCACCAGCTGCTCATCAGGTCCTGAGCGCATGGAGGAAGCCCCCTGCAGCCCTGCCCTGAACTGAGAAGGCCAGCCCCACCATGGGACCGGCGAGAGAAGGGCCGATGTTCTGATGGGTCCCTCCCTGCGGCCAGGGTCAAACCAGTCCTCCTCTGGTTAAAAGAGCCATTGATTCTCATCTCCTCAAGTCACTTGGGGTTGGGGTTTCATAATTTACAAGGAAGATGCCTCTAATATCCCAGCAGGGGTGGTGGGGGCAGGGCTGGGGGCCGGGCAGTGGACGCTGAGAACCCTGTGGCCGGGCCGGCTTCTGGGAGGGGACAGCTGCTCTGGGCACACAGATGACAGGATGCGGGCACATGATAAGCTAGAGAAGGCGGGTTCCAGGAAGAAAGGCCAGAGGCAACCACGGGGAGTGGAGAACTCGAGGGGTGTTAGGGGCTCAGAACAGGGCCCCCAGAAGGCGGGCAAACCAGCTGGGAGGAGCCAGGCACCCACATCTCATCCTGGGGGTGACGGGCGTTCAGTCACCAGGGGGCCCATTTATGTCATTAAAGCATCATCTGATGGGCTTCCCTGCTGGCCCAGCTGGTAAGGAATCTGCCCACAGTGCAGGAGACCTGGGTTCAGCTGATGGGTCAGAAAGATCCCCTGGAGAAGGGCATGGCTGCCCACTCCAGTATCCATGCCTGGAGAATCCCATGGACCGGGGAGCCTGGCGGGCTGCAGTCCATGAGGTCGGTAAGAGTCGGATAAGACTGAGCAGCTTACACTTTCACACCAAGGAGGAGACACAGAAATGCTTCTAAGGAGGAAGCCCTCTGAGCAGTGCTGATCCGACCTGGGTCGGGGGAGGCAGGGACATGGGAGGGGGGAGGCATGGGGTGGGGGGAGTGGACGGTAGCAAGCTTGGCAGCAGACACTGTGATGAGATGGGATGGAGGGGTTGAGGGACCCGAGCCTCCGATTGGCGGGTACGGACGGGTGGGGGCCATGTCACCTCCTGGGAGGAGGTGTGCTGGAGAGAGGGAGGCTGGGGCGGCCGCGTGCATGGAGAGTCTGATTCTCAGGCCACGTGCTTGGTGACCGATGAATTCTCCGAGAATTAGAACACAAGCTCGATCGTGAGAAGGTCTGCAGGGGTAAGAGAGACGGAGGTTGTGCACGCAGCCGCGTGGCTCTGTGGACCCTGATGGGGGCTCGGCGAAGGCGGGGCAGCCGGCTCAGAGCCGCAGGCTCCAGAGGCCCACGGGGCTGACCCAGGTCCACGCGCCAGGGCAGGAGGGGCTGTAGACTTCTACGTTACAGGAGAAACTGCGGCCCCCAACCCAGGGAGGGCCTCACGCTGGGAAGAGGGAGTTCAAGGACCTTCAGATGACCTTCTTCAGGTTCTTCTCAGATGGAGACAGGAGTCCTAGAAGGGGGCTGGGGAGGAGAGGGAGGAAAGGGCAGGAAAGCGCCTCCTGCCTCTGCTCCGGCTCCAGAGCCCCCAGCTTGCAGCGCCCAGGGTCCCTGCAGCGTCTTCAGGCCCAGCCAGCCTGGGAGCTGCTGGCAAAGCGCCAGGCAGAGGCGCAGCACCAGGCGGCTTCTAGCAAAGGAGCAGCCCCCACCCCCACCCCCGACCCCCGGCCTGGAGGGGCCTGGAGGGGCCTGGAGAGCAGCTTGGTGCAGGCAGGTGAGTTGGGGGTGGCCAGCCCGGGCCCCCAGAAGGCCTGCTGTGTCAGATGAGACAGCTCAGGGAGACTGGGCAGGGAGCAGGGTTCCGACAAGGATCCAAGGGGCGGGCCGAGCTCCACAAGCTAACTGCGGCCCCCACAGAGCGCCCCCCGGCCCTGCTTAGAGGTCGTTTCCTTCCAGGGGCGCTGACTTCCTCCTGACGCTCTTGTTAGATGCCATTGTGCTCACTCAAGGATCTCACATCTAATCCCTGAAACAAAAGAATCAATGCGCCCCCACAGCTCTGCAGAAGCATGTAATTAACCACTTCCGCGAGCATCTTTCCTTTAAAGATTTCTTAAAACTTTCATGGATTTTTTTTAATGTTTCTTTGTAATAAAGGATCTATTTTTAACCAAACATAAATACTGGTCATGTTATGGGTTTGGAGAGGGTGTTTTTAAACAAGGCATAATGATTTGCCCATAGAAATGCCTCAGCTGAGCGCGGGGCCCAGGATGGACCATGCTGAGATGCACGCAGCCCTCAGACAGGGGCCCAGACTCCGAGACAGGAGCCCACAGGGCTCCCCAAAGAGCCAGTGCCAGTCTGCCCCACCCCCAGAGGACCCCTCAAGGAGCTGTGATGAGGAGGAGGGACCTTTGTTTTTATTAAAGCCACATTTGCTCCGGGCAAAACGTTTAGGACATAGAGGGAGGAAAGCAAAAAGCATGATGGAAACAAAAATGAACCATCACCCCAAAACCCGGACATCACCCTGGCCCTTCTGAGCCTACGCTTCCCTGACTAAAAGGGGAATGAAGGTGTCACAATAAGTCATAGAAAGTGGGGCGCCGGCCACACGGATGGCCCACCTCCTCCGGGGAGAGGGCCACGTCCCAGGGTTGCCTTCTCCGAGGCCCATCTTGCACCCACACAGGAAGCAGACACACATCTCTGCCAGGGACTGTGGCCCCGACCCTGCCGGGCAGACAGGGAGGGGCCACCTGACCTGGTCATGGCCGGGGGTCCCCAGGGGCCGGCTCCCCCGCCGTGTCGCAGAGCATCTGGCGGGCCCTGTCCTGGGGCAGACGGACAAGCAGAGAGAGTGGGAGCAGAAGACAGAAACAGTGCAGCGGGGAGGCCGTGTGGGTGGCCGCCGTCCCGAGAACCTCTATGCGGGTGGTCACCTGCAGGCAAGGTCCGCCTGCAGCCCCACGGGGGACCCTCTGCCATCCACAAGTCCCCCCAGAGGAGGGACCCCTGGCCCAGGTCACAGAGCCAGAGGAGGACTGGTCTGGGATCGGAGTCCATCCTTGGCGCTGGGCGCCCGCCTGCCAGCAGCAGCACCTGCAGGGACCACAGACAGTGGAGGCCTGTGTTCCAGAAGCTTCCAGGACGTTCTCCTCCCCCTCCCTCTTCTAGGGTTGAGGTGGGCAGCCGACTACCTGCCCAGCCAGAGGCGTCCGGTGGATGTCAGCGAGCAGCCACGCCGTACGAGGCACCACCCTAGACCCAGAAAACCAGAGGTGAGACGAGGCCGCAGGGTCCGGGAGCAGGTTTCCGGGGACGGGCCGCCGGTAAGCGTCACTGCAGTGTGGGGGCACTGGTGGGACACCCTGGGGACCAGGGCTCGGGAGAGGTGGCTTCCCCACACGTGCACATGAGCCTGGGACACCCCCAACCTGAGCCTGGGACACCCCTCCCTCTCGGCACTGACCCGCCTCCCCCACGTGCGCGGCAGTGAGTGACCACCAGCTCCGAGGCCCTGAACCGACGGTGGAGGCGCGAACCTCCAGGGAGGCCGACCCCAAGTCTCACCACACGCCCCCCAGCTCCTGCCCCAGCACTGGCTGCCCACACCTCCAGCAGGGCCTCTGGAATCCCCGGAGGCCCGGGAGCCACCGGGATGCTGCCTGGAGCCGGCGTCTCCTGCGTCAACATTCTCAGCAAACATCTCTTTGGCTTGAGTGCTCTCAGGAAGATGATTAACATAATTTCCTTGACTTTCTCGAAATTTGATGTTGACAAGGGTATTTTGGCAAGAGCGTCGTGCAGGTTGGCAGGGCCCAATGGGGCAACTCTGCTCTTATTTGCATTATCGACATTGCTGTTGAGCGACTTGGCTGTGCTGGTCGCTTCTCAGGGAGGGACTGAAGGGAAATGCGGGCATTTCCTGGAAGGAAAGGAGCCCCACAAACTTGGGGCCTGCCAGGGGGCTGGCTCTGTGCTCATCTTGGCCACAGTACCGCTGCCCAGCACTGGGAAGGGACTTTATTCTTCAGAAGTCAGTTCACACTTCACCTCCTGCAGGAAGCCCCCCTTGCCTTCTCATTCTTGGCCCTGTCTCATTCTGTCTCTGAGCTACCATTATACCTCTTCAATATTTCTGTTATTTTACTTACAATACTATATACCAGGACTCTGCTTAAATATCCGTTTGTCATACTAAATTATAACATCTTTGGGGCCAGAACCGAATCTCACTCATCTTTGCACCCACACCTCTACGAGGGTGCCTGGAACCAAGGAGGCACTTGGCCAGCAGCCTCTGAGCTCCAAACCCTGCTGGGGCTCCTGCCCCTACATGCCCTCCCTCCTTGCCCGCAGGCTGGACCTGGGGATGCTTTTCCAATCGAGAGGACAGAGCAGGAGGTGGGTGTCTGTCCAGAGAGTCGATGAATGTCCTCCTCACTAGCCCATGGAGGCCCCCAGAGCCTTGTCCCAGGGAAGCCGCTGCTACCCCGTGAGCCCCCAGGGAGGGGCCCCGGGCAGCGGCCAGCCGGGACCAGAGCCCCGTGAGGGGCCTTGGATGGGGCTGCCCCCGAGCCCTGCCCGAGGTGACCGCAGAGACCCCGGAGAGGACCTAACCCCCCACACTGGCAGACACCCATGCTTTTCTGCTCAAGCCACCACGTGTGGGACTAGTTTATTACACAGAAACGGTACCCAACTGTTCATTCAAACTGAACTGCCCTGAACAGAACCCGTTCTGTGTGTGAAGGTCTTAAACTCACGAGGCAGACAGAGGGCGACAGGGACAGTGGGAGTCGATCACGTTTCCAAGACTGTAGAGACCCCGGCCGCGAACGCACTCCTAGAAACCCTGAGGATGCTGTTTCAGGACAAATGGAACCAGTTCTCACTGCCTGTGATGGCGAAGAGCGTGACCCGAGACGGAGGCCTTGCTGGGCTCAGACCCGAGTCCTGCTGAGTGTGCACGCGGTGACCCAGAAACCTGTCTATTCAACTCGCTTCAGGGGCACCGGTAAAACCAGCTCATAGTGAGAATCACTCCAGTCAGTATTTAAGAGATATCTACTCAAAACCACTAACTTGCAGCCCTCTGTTAGGAGGACACGAACACGTGTAAACACCACCCCCAGCTCTTGAATCTCACAGGAACGCGGTGGCAAAGCCACCAACAATAGTCAGTGCATCCTGCTTCCTCTGAGCTCATTCTTTGGCTCCTAAGAGGTTTAGGGGGCAGACTAAACCTGAGAGGACCCTACCCCCTAAACTGGTGGACACCCATGCTTTTCTGTTCAAGCTGCCAAGTTTTTCGGTAAAAAAAACTGGGCTTTTTTAATAAAGCACGCTTCTGTCTGCCGCATCCTAGATCAGTGTGAGGGTGGGAGTTCTGGACACCTTGCTAACCACCTCCCCTTGGAGGAGACGCTGACAAGGGGCCTGGGGGATGGGAAGTGGGGTGCACACGCTGGCCTGAGGGAATAGCCCCAATCCAGAAGGAACTTGCCTCTAGGAGCCTTGGGAAAGGAGGGACGTTAGGAGCCGGTGATCCAAACCGTCCGCAAAGTCCTTGAGAAGAAGCCTCGCCCACCCACGGGAAAAACCCTCCTCCTGCAGCTCCAGCAGCCAATGCCCTTCACCCTGAGGTCTCTCCTGCCTCTCCTCCCGCCCTCGGGTGAGAGGATGCCCAGGACCTCCGCCGGCTTCCAGTCTCCAGATGAAGTGCCCCCTTTCTCAAATGTTTCAAGCCATTTAAATCTGGGGAGCGGGACCGTGCAAGGCTTTGCAGCACCCTGCTCTGATGGAAGCCACACCTCCCCCCACGCAGCGTCGTCGCCTTGGATTTCAACTGTGCTCTGAACATACCTGAGAAGGCTTTTGATCGTTTCATCTACAATGAATAGCACGCCAGACGGCGAGAAAACGACCTCTTGCACATCCAGGCACGACCCTAGCGGCAGCCTGCCCCAGCCTTCCGCAGGCGGGGGACTGGGGGCGCTGGGGTGGTCACGGAAAGCGCGGGGCTGCGCCCTTCTCTGAGGCCTTGGCGCAGTTCCGCCGGGGGGGTTTCCAGTACAGCCGGGCAGGCAGGGCGCATGGAGCCTCACTGCTTGGCTGAGCCGCCTCCCTCCCACACCAAGAACAGAGCCTCGGGCGTCCTCTGAGCCAGCGCGGAGGGCCAGCTCCTCAGCGAGCAGGGCAGTGCGGGGAGACTGCTCCCTGGGGTCCCAGAAGAGCCGGACCCCCCAGAGTCTAGAGGGAGATCCCTTGAGTCCTGGGGGGAGCAGGCAGGCCCGCTGAGGCTGCCCAGGCCAGAGCACCTCCCTGCGGGAGAGTCGGGCTGATGGCCAGGCTGGCCTCGGGGCCCGAAACTCACCCTCCGTCCCTTCTCCTCCTGGGCATCGCCGCTCATCACCCGCTCAGCACGCTGGCGAGGATGCCTCCCAGCATCGCAGCGGAGCGGCCTGCTGTCCCCTTGGCGCAGCTGGAGCGTGCACGCCAGGACTTGGAAGTACAGGAGGGGGCCGCCCTCTCACTGTGCCCAGGGCCCCAGGTGGTCCGTGGATGGAGAGACCACAGGCTGCCAGGGGGAGAGTCCAGACCCTGCCTCAGTGTGGGGAGCAGGAGTTTCCAGAACACGGTCTGAACCTGAGGGAGGGGCTCTAGAGTCCCGAGACCCGGGCCTGCTCTGGCCACGCGAGAAGCGCCTTGACCCCTGCCTCTGAGCATCCGTCCCTGGTGCCCGGGATGGAGGCCACAGGCTTCTGGGCCAACAAAGAGGAAGCCACACGTGGGGAGCGACCCCTTCCCCAAACCCCGCTGCCACTGCGGACATTTAAAGGGTGAGGAGGCGGGAGAATGGTGGACAGGAGTTTCAGGGACTTTCTGGAGATGCAGCCCAGTGAGGGAGACAAGGAAAGAAGGGACACTTGGCACCCAGGGAACAGAGGGACTCCGTGCAAGCCCGGCCCGCCCGCCCGGAGCCCAGGGACGCCCGGCCTCGGAGGCGGCGGGGGCGATGTCGCGGGAGGCAGCAGGGATGAAGGCTTCGTGTAGAAGGCACCACAAGGAGCACAGACAGGCCCTGCCCTCCCTGAGCCCAGATCCCAACTGGGAAAACCAGAGGACAGGTGAGCAGATAAACAGTTACATAAAGTGGAACGAGAAGCACATAGATGGAGCCCACAGGTGACCGGAGATTTCAAGGCGTTGGGCGAGTGGGGACAGGCTCAGGGAGGCAGTGACGGGCCAGCCCCCAGGGCAGCGTCGGGCGTTCATGCAGGTCCGTGGGCAAGGGGGCTTCTCCACCACGGGCACGCTCGGCCAAGAGCAGCGGGAAGGAGGCACCCAGCAGGTGGACAGCGGGGAGAAGAGGCATCTGGGAAGCAGGGACACGAAGTGGAGACCAAGAACGTGAAGCAAGACGGGCTCGCGGGGCCTGGAGGTGGGCCTGGCGTCTGGCTGCACCTGGACACGTTTTGCTAAATGAGTCCTTCTGGAAAAGGTGCCACACATCTAGCCAGCCTGTGAGGGCTCCGGGAACGGGGTGAGCCGGGGGTCCCCGGAAACCCGTCGCAGGCCGCACCGCAGAAGCCTTTGCTGTGACGGACACTGAGGGCCGCAGTGGGGGTGGCTGACCACAGACGTGCACACTCCAGGCCCTGCAGCGGCACTCCCGGAGGGCCCTCCGGGGGAGACATGAGAGGGAGCCGTGTCTCCCGCCCCGGCTTCGAGCGTGCTCGGCTCTGCTTCTCCACCCGCTGAGCTGGCGTGTCTGGGACGGACGGCCAGCCGTTGCTGGAACCAGGTCGCTGCTGGACGCACAGCTCAGAGAAGCTGGCCCAGTCATGGCCCTGCAGACCCCCTTGGCAAACAGACCTCCTGCCGAATCCAGCGGCTCAGCTAATTTTTTCCTCCATCCCATTTGGTTACTTTTTCATCGTATTTAGAATCTAGATAGAGAAGAAAGGCACTATCTATTGGAGATTCCCTTAAAAATGTCGACATAAGTAAAACAACCACAATGGAAGGACATATCTACCCAAAGACGCCTGTCGAATGAATTAATAATGCACAAAGGTTCTCACTGTAGTTGTTTTGACCAAGAACTGGAAGGAAACTGAATGCAGAGCAATTAGAGAGAAGCTGGAAAGAAATTTATTATATCTGTACCAGCAACCGTTATACAGTCATTAAAAATAATTAGCTGCACTGCATAATTTAAGGTGATTTCCACAAGTTGTTTTTGAGCAAGAATACAAGAGGTTGAACTATGCGTTAGTAATACTATTTTCATAAATATATCATGGAAATATGTTGTGTGTGTATTATAGGGGGAAAATAATACTAAAAGACAAATCAGATTATTTAGCACATCTTATGGCTAGGGAAGTAGGCTCACTGACATTCTCATTTGTTTTGTTTTGATAAGAGGGAGAGTCAGAAGTCATCATTTGCAGTACATAAATCAAGTGAGAGAGAGAAAAGTGTATGTAAAGATATAAAAGTAAATAGAGAAAAACAAGCAAGTACAAATGTGATAAGTAGACAAAAGAGAGAAAAGGTATTTTGAAAATATACTGTAATCATTTCATTGCTTATAGTAGGAAATCAATAGATTCGATCATAGTAGAAGATTTTTGCCTTTTCATACTGTTCATGGAGTTCCTGTGGTAAGAATACTGGAGTGGTTTGCCATTCCCTCCTCCAGTGCTTTTTAATCATGGTGCTGGAGAAGACTCTTGGACTGCAAGGAGATCAAACCAGTCAATCCTAAAGGAAATCAACCCTGAACATTCATTGGAAGGACTCATGTGAAGCTCCAGTACTTTGGCCACCTGATGCAAAGAGCTGACTCGCTAGAAAAGACCCTGATGTTAGGAAAGATTGAGGGCAAAAGAAGAAGGGGGCGACAGAAGATGAGATAGTTAGATAGCATCACCGACTGAAAAGACAAGAGTTTGAGCAAACTCCCAGAGGTAGCGAAGGACAAGGCAGCCCGGTGTGCTGCCATCCCCGGGGTCACAAAGAGTCAGACTCGAATGAGCAACTGAACAACAACCACTACAAGTAGAAGATTTAAGTGGCATTAAAGAGCAGCTGTTAGAAGAGAAATAGACAGCATAAAAACATCCGAATGCAACCCAACAGTACCTCGGCTGTGAGGTACATGCTCCCTGCAGAGGCGGGTCCCAGGAGGCAAGCCCAGGGCAGAGCGTCACCCAAGCTCGGGACAGAGTCACCAGCTGGTCAGTATTCTGTCCCTCAGGGAGAGGGCATGTGTGGGAAAGGCCTCTTCAGGACTGCCCTCCAGGTGGTAGCAAGAGCGGGACAAAATGATTTTCTCACCTATATGTATGGATTATGCATGCGCACCCAGTCACTTCAGTCATCTCTGACACTATGTGACCCCATGAACCAGGCTCCTCTGTCCATGGGATTCTCCAGACAAGAATACTGAAATGGGTTACCATGCTTTCCTCCAGGGGATCATTGCAACCCAGGGATTGAACCCATATAATCTGTATGCAGGTCAAGATATGGAACAACAGACTGGCTCCAAATCGGGAAAGGAGTACATCGAGGCTGTATATTGTTACCCTGCTTATTTAACTATATGCAGAGTACATCATGCAAAATGCTGGGCTGGATGAAGCGCGAGCTGAAATCAAGATTGCCAGGAGAAATATCAATAACCTCAGATATGCAGATGACACCACCCTTATGGCAGAAAGCAAAGAAGATCTAAAAAGTTTCTTAATGAAATTGAAAGAGGAGAGTGAAAAAGTTGGCTTAAAACTCAACATTCAGAACACTAAGCATCCAGTCCCATCACTTCATGGCAAACAGATGGGGAAACAAAGGAAACAGTGGCTGACTTTATTTTTTGGGGCTCCAAAATCACTGCAGATGGTGACTGCAGCCATGAAATTAAAAGATGCTTGCTCCTTGGAAGAAAAGCTATGACCAACCTAGACAGCATATTAAAAAGCAGAAACATTACTTTGCCAACAAAGG